TCTCACTAGGGTTTAGGGGGTCTGGGCTTTGAGGGTATCAGGGACTGCCCTCCAGGGCCTGCTTTCTGGTGGCCTTGGGGCTCCATCTGACTGTCTGAGCCAGGTGGAGTGTGAAGTTCCAGGGCCTTCCTGACAGGAGGAGTGAACCCGAACCTTCCCCAGACCCGGGCCCTTCCCACTTCCACCAGTTTCTACCTTTCTTCCCTTTTCAACCCCAGTCGCCGTTGCCAAGGCCATCTTTCACTTCAACAGACACCTAAATCCGTGGTTTGCCTCAGCTGCTGTTTGACCAGGAAGTCATCAGCCTTAACGCCTTTTCATTTCCCTGCCTTGCAGGCCCGAGGCCAGGGTGGGGGAGGGCCGTGACTCCTGGGCTCCAGGTGCCCTTCCAGGAAATGCTGGTCCCTGGCCCCTGGGCTCTCCGCCCCTCGTCAGGGCGAGCCCTGGGTGCTCAGCCAACTCCAGAGGGTCTGATAGCGTCTCCTTTTCACATCTCCATGCCCCCCTCCCAGGAAGAAGCCTGGGGCGGGCCGCACCCCACACCTGCCCTCCTGCACCTGAGCACACGACACCTGGAGGAAAGAGGCTGCCAGGTGACCCGGTTCAGCCAAGTCCAGTCTCCTGCCTGGTGCTTTGGGTTCAGTAGTTTTCCAAAGTACCTGCTGTTCCCCAGTGCAGCCCAGGAAGTGGCGGGAAGGTGGCCGGCCCCCCATGGAGGGGACCATGGTCCACCTTCTCCCTACTCAGTGCAAGGAAAGAAATCCCAGTCTCTACAGTGGGACCGGTGCCCCTGGCCCCTGGCATCCCACAGACGCTCCCAGGTTATCCCTTGCTCAGCACCTGCGCCCTGAGATGTGCCAGCATCCTTCCCACAGCAGACAAATGGAGCTCCGAGACTCCCTGAGTTCTCCCAGGCGTGAACTGGCTGGTAAGGACGCCAGGAGGTGAGCAGAGCTGCCTTCCTGTGAATGGCCCGGGGACAGAGGTCACCGGAAAACCCCAAGGCGGGAGACGGGAAGGTACCAGGAACTGTTCCGGAACCTGGTCACAGTGCCTTCAGGAAGTGGCTGGGCTTTTCCCAGAGCAGCAGGGCTCAGAGCCACCTGCATTCCACGTGTGTGACCTGCGCAGAGGGGTGAGGGAGAGGGAACAAAGGCCGAAGCACTGGTGATGGTGATGATGGAGATGGTGATGGTGATGATGGCCCGGCCGAGAAAGTGGAAGGAGGAAGGTCCACTGGGAGGGCAGACGGGAGCCCTGTTGGGCCAGAGGAGCCATGAGCTAAGTGGAGAGACAGAGCCTGGGAGACAGAGGGCAGAGGAGGACCCAGGCCCCACCTTCCACCCAGTGAGGATATACGGGCAGAGGGACAGTCGGAGGGAGCAGAGAGGCCTCAGAAAGGCCGTCCTCTAGATCTGCACTGTCCAGGACAGTAGCCACCAGCCACATGTGCCTGTTTATGTGTAAGTTAATTAAAATAAAATGTGAAAGTCGGGTCCTGTGTCCAACATCTGGGTGTGCCTGTGAGGTGTAGAGCATGTCCATCACCGAGGAAAGTCCTGCTGGGCTGGGGAGGGCAGTGCAGGCCACACTGAGAAGCAGAGTCAGTGACCCGGAGCCCCTGGGTGGGGTGAGAATGGCCGATCCCCTGGCAGCACAGGCGAGAGCTGTGCTGCCAGCCCCGGGCGTGGCCCCGGGGACTCTGAGGGCCCACAGCTTCGTACATTTTTGTAGGGCTCTCTTTGAGGGGCTCTGCCCCAGGAGCTGGTGGTGAGTTCTGATGTATTTTCCAACGAAAATAATTCTTAATTCCACGACAGACTGAAAAAATAAAAGGCCAGGGACGTATCGGGTGGGGTTTGCAGGCTGTGCAATTGGGAGACGCTGCCTTGCGGGGAGGGCTGTTCTGAGGTCTGCAGGTAAGAAATCTGGCTTAAATCTGCACCAGCCCTTTTCCAGTTTAAACGTCAAAGTCCATAGAACCAGTGTTGTGTAGACAGTGCTAGGCTCGGCCAGGGATTCTCGGTTGAGTCAACCACCACCTTCAATCCCAGAAATACCCAGAGTCCTCCAGCCGCTGCAGACCCAGGGCCTGGGCGGCTTCCAGTGAGGGAGGCTCACGTATGTAATTCGACCCACAGTGTTTTTTAAAAAAGGAAATTTACTTGCCAGCATTTAAAAGTCAGGAGATTCCACCAGGAAGCCTGAACTTGGTTTCCTTGATGTCTCAGGAGCCCTGGCCAGCGTGACCTTCCCTCCTCCCGGGTGCTGAGCAGTCCCGGCCCTGGGTGCCAGCCCCCTGCAGGGTCTGCGACTGGGAAATGCACGCCAGCCACCTCCAGCTCAGCCGGGTGACTAGGTGGCCTGTGCCTCGGTCACCAGCAGCCGTCTGCAGGGTATCCCTAAGTGGCTCACAGAGGGACTGGTGCAAGGCCAGGGTTGTCCCCAGCCAGAGTCCTGCCCAGGCCAGAGTTACACCAGCTGGAATCGTGAACACTGGTCTGTTCCCAGAGTCACAAGCTGGTTCTGGAAAGGCTGATTCAGGTGACATTTGGGGAAGCATGGGGAAAGGGGCGAGTCCCGTTAGGAGCTCTGAGAGCACAGGGAGCGAGGGGCCCCCAGTGGATGTGCAGCCCGCTGGACTGAGGCCTGGGTCTGGTCCTCCCCGCGTGGCCTCAGTTTCCTGAGGGTGGCTCTCCAGTACTCAATACCTGTGCGTGTGCCTGTGTGTTTAGCAGTGATGTCGGCTGGCGGTTGGGTCCAGATGCTCGGGGTCAGGCGGTCTCTGGCCAACTCGAGCTGCATTTTGGGGAGTAAGGACTCAGGGAAGCCAGGCTGGGAGAGTTACCTGGGGAAGTGTGGTGAGTCTCCTGTCGCTGGCATATTCAAGCCTGTACTGGACAGCCTCCGCCTTGAGTGGGAGGTGTGGGCCCGCTCATGGGAGGCCCTTGACTCTCGCCCGATCTGTGTTTCCCAGCTCAGAGAAGATCGCTGGCATTTGGTAAATTCTTATTAGGCTGAGGGTTGGGTTTCCTCCCTGCGTGCCGCCGGGTGGCCTCCTGGGGAAATTGTCCCCAGCGGTGGAGGCAGGGCACGGAACGGACCTGGATCTCACGCAGGGAGTATGTTTGCTCCCACGTGACTTTGGACAGTGGGTAAACGCCCCAAAATGTGAGGTCAAACACTGGCCCTCACCGTGTTTGCCCCAGGCGCCTGCTAAGCACTGATGTCTGCAGGGTGACGTCCACCCTTTAGCAGAGTCCTGCGCGTGGCCTCCTGTCCCTGGGCCAGACGGAGGGGCTGTCTGCCGCTCACGGTGGGCCTCGGCACGTTAGAGCCGACAGGCTCCTGGAGCCCCTTAGTCCTCACATCCTGGGGGGATGTGGAGTCCGCGGAGGGCCAGGCGGTTCTCCCCTCACCCCACACACTGCGATGGGGGCGCCCAGCGCAGCGCAGGAGCAGCCGGCGGCCCGGCAGGGCTTCCCGGAGGTGGTGTGGGGCGGAGCATGCTGCTGTCTGCTCACCGGCCTGGGAGGGGAGGGACCAGCAGTGGCCGTGCTCGCTGCGGCATCGTGGAAGGCTTGTGAAGGAGCTGCCTCGGGCGGCAGGGGGACTGCGCTGAGAGCTTAGCCAGCAGTCCTCACAGGTGCAGAGCGTGGCGCTGTGCCGCGAACCCCGCGGACAAGGCTGCAGCACTTGCGAGCCTTCGCGGTGCTCACGTGCGCTCCAGTGGGGCCGTTACCCAGATCCCAAACTCCTTTGACTGAGGACCCCTTTTGTGCTGGGAGCCTGAGGGCCTGGTGGGGTGGGACACACATTTGGGAACGCCGACTGAGCCACTGGGAGACATGGAGGGAAGGCTTTTCCAGGAAGATGGAACAGCGGAGTGGAGGCCTCAGAGCAGAGGCCCAGGAGACAGTGTGGTGATCTCAGCTCCACTCAGGGACATGGTAAGACCCAGGGCAGGGGCAGAGGCAGGCCACTGGTGCCCTGGGGACACGGACAGCGGTCATCTCGTGGGCTTCAGAGACGGGTCCTGCAGTCCTCGTGCCTCCTGCACACCCCCGGGGAGCCCTCTGTCCAGGCAGCGGCCGGGCAGCGACAGCAGGTTGGGGTCAGTTTGCACACCTGACCCGGGCCCCGGCTCACACCCGGGGAAGTCGCTTGCTCAGGGCGGGTCCTCTGCTGCCTGGCCACCCTCGCCAGCAGCCTCTCACGAGAATCCGCGTATGGTGGGCGGTGGTGGGGGAGTGTTGATCATCATTTAATAACCAGCCCCTGTGGTTATTAAAGCCTGATGGGCAGAGTCTGCCGATTTCCACAGTGCACACACTTCCAGGCTTCGGGCTCCCAGCACGAGGTTGCAGAGGTGGGCTGGGAACAGGTGTCCCAGCACGGGTTTCCACCTGCAGACAAGAGGAGCAGCCTCAGCTCAGGAAATAGCTGGGACATCGTGAGATCGAAGTGGTTATTCTTTTTTTTTTTTTTTTTTTTTTTT